CCCTTGATTAGGTTAAACGCCAACTAGTTTCCTAGTCAATGTAATAACTTCGGATCATCCAGACAGATGATCTGAGAAAAGCCAAGTTGCCGGCCATTATCAACGTCTCTTGAACGAGTTTAACACTTTGAATGAGAAGTCGCCATTATCAAACCTGAAACCAAACAAGCTGGTCGCTCGTTCCCTCGCTCTATCATCATCAACCCAACAAAAAAAAAAAAAAAAGAAGCGCTCACGGATTTGGAATTATGTCCTAATAAACAATCCTGCAGTAGCCAAGATGTCTCTTTCCTCCCCACCCTCCATATTAAAAAAAAAAACTTTTTTTCGCCAAACCCTTTATTCTATATTCCGATATTTGACGTTCAGAGTAAAACTTTCTGCTTGGTTATGAATACATACATATATATATATATATATTAATTATTATCAAGCAGTGACACAACTTGGGCAAGATACCCAAAGGAGTAGCATGGCCTTTGGGAGAGAGAATAAGGCAAAAAAAAAATGTCAGAAGAGAGCACTTGCATCACACAATACGTCTTCTTTTTCAGCATCTTTCTTGTCGTTATCGCTTCCCCTCTCCACCGCCATTCTCATACACATACATATAATATCATCACATGCAAACAAATATTGTTTTCTTGAATGTTAAGATTTAGTTCTGAATTTGGACATAGCCAATGTGAAAGTTTGAATTGTTGTTCCGAGGAGATAAGATAAAACCGACCAAAGCCAACGGATATTAATGTATTTAAATCATTGTAATGACATTAGGGAAATTAAATGAATCTTGGACATATTGTTCAACGACTGTAGCCGACTTATTAGGACATAAAGGCGGCATGGTTCGCACGTGAAGACTCGTCAATCTTGTCATTGACGAATCATGGCATGGCACCATCCACTTCCCTCCCTCCCTATTTCCTCTGTCTCTATATATACACACATCTTTCACCCTCTCGTGTTCTCCTCCAAAACCCTCGCCGGAGCAAACAGAGCCGCCGGAGAATCTCACCGCCGGCAGAATCACATAGACCGATCAGTGAGAATTACACGGCGGCTCCCTGCTCCAATGGGTCCTTCTCAAGTTTCTCTCTTTCTCCTTGTGGCTCTTGTTCTCTTCTATGGCGGTTCTTGCACCACTTTCACCATTGTTAACCAGTGCGGCTACACTGTTTGGCCGGGACTTCTCTCAGGCGCCGGAACTGCCCCTCTTCCGACCACCGGATTTGTCTTGAACCCGTCGGAGTCACGTGTCTTTCCCATTCCCGCCGCTTGGTCCGGCCGCATCTGGGGCCGTACGCTCTGCTCCAACGACGAGTCTACCGGGAGATTCTCGTGCGTCACCGGAGACTGCGGTTCCCCCGGCGTGGAATGCTCTGGAGCCGGCGCCGCACCTCCGGCGAGCCTCGCCGAGTTGTTGCACATCAATGAGGCTACGACGTCAGCCTCGTCGATGGCTACAACATCCCCATGATCATCGTTCCTCAGGGAGGCGTCGCCGGCGCCGGGAACTGCACGGCCACCGGGTGCGTCGCCGACCTAAACGGGCCTTGTCCGGCGGAGCTAAAGGTTTCGTCGCCGTCTCAGACGACGGCGGCGGCGGCGGTGGAGGGGACAGCGGTGGCGTGCAAGAGCGCGTGCGAGGCGTTCGGAGAGGCGAAGTACTGTTGCAGCGGAGAGTACGGAACGCCGGACACGTGTAAGCCAAGCGAGTACTCGGAGTATTTCAAGAGCTCGTGTCCCAAGGCTTACAGTTACGCTTACGACGACGGCACGAGCACCTTCACTTGCGCCGGTTCTGATTACGTCATCACTTTCTGCCCTTCTCCTTCCCCTAGGTACCTTCCCTAATTACCATTTGCTCTCTCGTCAATCAATTAATCAACTAATTAATTAGCAATTGCACTCTGTTACTCCGTTTTTGTGGCTAAAAAAAGATTCCAACTTTACAAGAAAAAAAAAACTTTCTTCTCTATGAACTAAAAAATGCAGGATCTTTTTCAATTCGAAAAGTTCTTATTCCTTATGTTTTTTTTAAAAAAATTTTATATATTTTTTTAGGATTTTTTGTTTTGTAATAATTGGTAATGTAACGTAATTTAGTGGTCGTTCCAAATCTGTCTTTTTATTTATTTATTTATTTATTGGTGGTAGGGAGATGGAACATCTATTTTAAAACTACCGATGTTGAAATATATCGTATAGAATTAAAATGCTTCAGATATATTTTTTTTTTTTTGGGGGGGGGGGGGGGGGGGTTGAGATATTTTTTAGAAACAACAAAAACTGATTATAACAACAAAATAAATATATAAACTTTTGTGATATCAAATCGCCGTAACATTTAACGGTTGAAAAAACGATAACATATGCTTTTCATGATGATGAATCATTTTGTCAACACATTTATCATAATGCCAAGACATCCATTTTCCACGCTTGTGGACCGACCCGGCTCCTGAAAACTATTACGGGCTTTTTAATTTTACAAATCTGAAATATAAAAATAGAATTCATTAATTAATTTATGTTTCCATTTTTTTTGTGCTGAAGCCTGAAGCGCACGTCAAAGGGTCTGCAGCCGGAGGCGGTCAGCGTCTCTGCCGCGGCTCCGACGCGAATCTCCGACGCATTTTCTTTTGGCGTTTTGGCCGCAGCGGTTTGGGCTGCCAACCGCGTCCGCTGATGTCACTATTAACACGGCGTCGTTTTGATTGATGTTACACGATGGGAATCCGATTTCCTTTTCGTTTTGGAGGAAAAGACTGCTCGGAGGAACGGTTTATTTTAATGAAGAGATTAGAGATCCGATACGATTAGAAGAAAAGAAAATTAGTGCTCTTAATTTCAATTTTACCTTTTTTAATTTCCTTTTTCAGTACCATATTTTATTTTTTCTGAATTGTAAATATATAAATAAATATGAACGGATGGAAACTCGAGGATATTCGCCAATTAAAAAAGTGAGATATTTTTTATGTCGGTCAAAGGCCCATTGAACTTAATAGGCCCAATGTAAAAGTGTACACGTAGTTGTGGCCCACCTTTCTGCTAGCCTTTCAACCTATCACACATATTTGGATTTCTTAGATTTCTTTGAACGACATTTGGATTTTGGACCGTTCGTATAATTAAGATTAGGGTTGGGCGTTTTACTTCCGTTAGGAAGAATCTGACCCGAATCAAAAAATATGTTATTTTTTTCCGGATCTTATTTAAAACGGTATTATTTTTAGAAAACCGAATTTTTCAAAACCGAACCAAACCGAATTTTAAAAATTCTGAAAAACCGAAATCGAACTGAACTAGAACCGAAACCGACATAATATAAAAACCGATTGATATCTATTTTTGTAAAACCGAAAAAACAAACCGATGTATTTTAATTCCTAATCCGGACCGGTTCCCGAAGGGTCAACCCCTAATTAATTATATTATATTTTCATGCCTTTGATATCCCAATGAGCTAATCCGTACACGACTTTCAAGTGGTATAATCATTACAATTTGTTTTCTACAATTCGAAAAATGAAAATGAATATCCTTTCCTTCAAATAAAGTCTACTTGTTACTGAAGAAAAGCATTTACTAAGTGTTGCCTTCTCTCTTTTGCCACTGCCCACTCCATTGAGTATATATCATCACAGTTATATATTCGAGTTATTTTAGTTCATAATTAGTTTTATATTATTAATTAATGGAATAAAAGCAGCTTTGAAATGTGGTTGTGTTTCATATATATATTCGAGATAGATACGTTCTAATAATATCTATAACTATTATACATGACCATGGAACCTGCGTGTATATATATATTACATAGAAGTGATGATGTCATAATATTGCTGGATTCAACGACGACGATCAATTTCAGGTTTGAAAAAAAATAAGATAAAATAAAGTTTATTAGTTGTAAAATATTGAAAAAGGAGCAGACTAGTAATTAATCCAAACACTCATCTTTTTATTTTTAATTCGATTATATGCAAAAAAAAAAAAAAAAAAACCATATCCGGATAAGGTGACAATCTTTGAGACACTATTGGCAGTTTGGTAGCTGCAACCTTTTATTTATTTATTTTTGTTCTATTTTCACTTTTAGATAATTTCTAGCACTATTGGCAACTTTACGTTTTCACGACAAAATATTTATGGATTCAAGATTTTACTAAATTTGATTTTTTTTCTTCTAATCTTATGTTTAAACCTGTATATAAATTTAGAAAAGATAAAATTCGTACAGAAAACTAAAAGATCTAAATGCGGAAACTAAAAGATAAAATTCGGACAGAAATAGTTATAACTAATATCTGTTTTAATTTTACTTGTCTTTATTTTTAGCTCTTATTTTCTTTAGTCCCCATCTGTTTAGAATTCACGTTTTTCTTGAAAGTTGTTTTAAGATGAATGCCGTCAACATGTCCATCAACGACCCTTTTCGGGAAATAAAGAAGCATTCCACTATCAACGTCAATGTAGTGGCATACCCGCATTTCCCTTTGAAATTTTATCGTCAATTATGGAAAGTTTATATCATTTTAAATACGATTGTTATAATATGGAGAATTTTATTAAAAAGTTATACCGTCCGTTTGAATTCATTCTAATCTGTTATCCATAACAACAAGAATTAATAATTTGCTTATAACATCCAGTTTAATGTAAGCTACATATATATATATGTGTGTATATACATAAATACAGTATAATCATTTAAGAAGGATTTAATGCAATGGCAAAAAAAGAGAAAAGAAGATGGTAAATGGTAGTTGTCCCGCACCCACCATTAGCCGACGCCACACGACAAGTGGTCGAGCTCTAGACGTTTATGAAATCCAAAAGTAGAATTCCACGTCACACTAATCCTGTTTTTTCACTTTTTTTTTTATTATTAATCCTACTGCTTTGTTTTCTAAGTAATTAATCACTAAAGTTTTGATAATTACAAAAATATACAAAAAATTTTAGTAATGTAGTTTCAAATTTGCACTTCTTATCCTCAACAAAAAATGTAGGGTTTATTAAACAGCTAAATCTGTAAATAGTTTCTGCTTCTTATATTTTTTTTTTCAGTTTTTTTTTATTCTTAAAGAGTAAGGGAATCACATAATGAGTTTAATCATTAATTTTGTGGTAAATATCTATGTAAAATCAAGTTCATAGAACCATCTTTTTTCTCTTTCAATATTTCCCCACGTTTTTCATAATTAAATACTTTAAAATTAAATTGGCAAGAATATATCAATTAAAGTTTTTGTTTTAATCGTTTTTTGGTATTTAAATAATCTGCAAATGTCTAAAAATCTATACCAAGAACAAACCTGAAAATTACACCCATCGACTTGTAAATAACAGAATCATTGAAAAAAAGTTTCTTTTGTCTGAAAAAAAAGCTGGAGCACGTAAACATGACGAATCTAGTAAAAGCGGGAGGGAGTGATACAGTTGAAGCAAAAAAGAGAAGAGATCTCTCCGATTTTTTTCTCTCTTACAGTAAGTCGGCGAATGTGAATTTTATCTCTTTCATACATACATATACATATACATATATATATATATATATATGGGAACCACCAGCAGCAGCAGTTGCAGAAAATTGTAGAGCTTATGATTAAAGATTCTCGTTCTCTCTCTCTCAACTCACCAACCCAACCAATTTGGCAATTAGTCCCCTTTAGATTTTGGATTTCCCATTCTCTTTCCGTCTCTCTCTTGTTCCTTTGATCTCGGAACTCCTCATGGCTCTGTTCTGTCTCCGCTACCGACCGTACGCCTCTTTTCTGGGTTTCATCTTCTTGTTACTCTGTAATGGTAAGCCAATTCTCGTTTTCTTCATCTGGGTTTCTCCAATTTCGCAACAAGTTTGAAACTTTACTGATTAAAACTCTGTTTCTGGATTTTTTCCCCCGATAGGTGTCAGCCCTACGACGTTCACCCTCGTCAACAAATGCGATTTCACGGTTTGGCCGGGGATTTTGTCCGGCGCCGGTACTCCCAAGCTCGAGACTACTGGTTTCGAGCTCTCCAAGGGAACCTCTCGGACCTTTCGGGCACCGGCCGGTTGGTCCGGTCGGTTCTGGGGCCGAACCGGCTGCGACTTCGACGGCTCGA